CCGCAGACACATTCTGACAGCACTTCAGACAGCAGCTTTGTGCCCCGCCAGCTTCTTGTTCCATGCCTACCATGGTGTTTTTGTACAGACAGCACTTCAGACAGCATTATGCTGTAGTCGGCAATCTTCCGTTTTGGTATAGAGTGGGACAGGGAGGGGGTGATGCTACTGTAGTCGAACGGTGGGACGGACGTGCAGTTCAGTTTTTGGGCACGCATACGGTGCTGCAGGGATTTTTAGGTGTACCTCTTCGGGCTCTTGCATACCTTTTTCTCGTCAGATGTGTGCGTGTTCTTTAGATCCTCAGATGGCTCTAGCACTTTCGTGACCACGGGCTGAGAGTCTTTTGCTAGATTTTGGCATTTAGCAACTGACATACGGTTTAATGTGAAGACAAACAACAACAACAACAACATTATGGAACACTTTTTTTAACGGACGTAGCTCAGCTCACAATACGCGGGGACCCCTGATTGTTTTTTAATGTTGACACAACGAATCCACCTCTATCAAAGAAAAGAGTCCAAGCCAGATTGGCAATGGATAAATTGCGGCAGTGAAGGCTACCTGTATTTCCATGATTTCCCGAGCAGCATACAGCGACATCTCCCCCGTGGGTAACAGGGTCAACAAGACAGTGTAGCCGTTTTGTTTTTCCGTTAGCTCTCGTTTGAGCACTTCAGCGTGCCGATCGGGTCAAGCATTGCCGAGCTACAGCACATTCCCCACCCACACCCCTGATGTGGGCATCTTTGCCCTTACTGGGGTGCTGCTGCTAAGCATGGGACAAGCGAGAGTAGACCCAGAGCGGGCCCAGAAGGCTGTCGATGCAGTACGCAGCGGTGAGATGTCGTTTAGGGTTGATGCGGACATCTACGGGTTGGACCCAACCTCGCCCCACCGCCGTGTGAAGAAGGAGGTGGCCATAGATGCGAGGGTTGGTGCCGGGACTGTCCTGTGCAAGGAGGAGGAAGATTTCGTAGAGATGTGTTGATCTACGCCTCCCGATACTTCTTGCTGTTGGGTCGGAGGGAGCTGAAAGAAGCTGTGCGGAAAATCTGCCTTGACGGACGCAAGGTGCCCTAGGGCCAAGACAAGGGCCCCGGGGGACAGCTGGCTTAAGGGATTCATGGCGAGGCACCCGGGGTTGTCGGAGCGAGCCACCCGCATCTACGAAGCAAACCGGATCAACGAAGACGACGAGCCTCTCCTTGAAGCCTTCTACGAGACATGGGAAGCGTACCTCGCGGAGACTAAGCTCACGCCGGACCGCATCACCAACACGGACGAGACAAGCGAGTTAGGGCAAGGGCTGAGGTGTCAGTGGTGTCAGTATCGACTGCTGTGCTTTCGTAGGCCACGCACCAGCAGCACTGCGATGTGTGATCTGTGTCACAACAAAGCGGAGTTCTGCTGCTGCTGCTGCTGCTGCTGCTGAAAAAAAAAAAACAGCAGTTGTTCGGCATATCTTTCCGAGGCCGCTGCTGCTTGTCATACTTGTAGCACACAACGCGCATGTGATGCTGGATCCGGTTGAGGGTTGAGCATGCAACATTTCCTGCGGTCATCTCAGTTATACTCTAGCACAGAAGTGGTAGGGCTCATGTACGATATTCTACGCGGTGTTTTTGTTGTGTGCCACACGCGACAGCGGGCGTTTGCGGTGTTGGTCCGCATGCACGTGTGTTGCCAATGCTGTGCGAAGTGCAGTCAAGTCGAGACTTCAGTAGGACGCTTTGCTTTTGTAAACCACCTTGGTTTCGAGCTCAATGCAAACTTTCATGGGTGTGGGGTTGTTGATTTACACCCAGGGTCTAAACGAATCCGACTGCTGTTGAAGAAAAATAATGGTCCCATCACCACCGCTGCGTGCCACCGCCCGGTGCGAGCTGCGCTCATGTGCGTGTGTACGCGCGCTTTTTTGTGTGTGCCAGCGCTGCTGCTGCGAACGTGTGTGAACTTTTCTGATTGTTCGACTGCCTCCACCCCCGATGCACGCGCGTCCTCCGGTGTGTGTTGTAGGTTCCACCCCGCAAGGTACAAAGTCGGGGAAGGCTATCGTGCCAACAGGCACCAAGGTGCCCGGCGCGAAGCGCTCCAACTCGCGAGAAAATACGACGGTGGTCGCTAGCATCGGCGCCGACGGCCACACCTACAACCCCATCACCATCTACAAAGGCCAGCGTATGCAACCCGCTTGGATCCAGGACAAGAATGGCGTCCCCGATGCGAAGTACACCGTCACGGAGTCATCCTTCATCCAGAGCCACGTGTTCCTCTATTGCCTTCGAGACCTCCGCGAACAGCTCGATGCACGCGGCTTGCAGGGCAAAGGTGCCCTTGCTCGACGGCCACGCCTCGCACACGACCTTCGACGCCATCAGCTTGGCCATCCTTCTGGACATCGACCTCTTCCAGCTCCCGTCCCACACATCGCACATCACCCAGCCCTCCGACGTTGGTACGTTCGGAACCTTCAAGAAGGAGCTCACCAGGGTGCTCACGGCCTACCCACTGAAAATCGAGGGGAGGGGTCCGGTGAAGCGCGACATGGCTGTCGTGATTGCGGAGGCATGGAGAGGGAGCTTCACGCCTGCGAACAACATGGTGGCGTTCAAAGGGGCGGGCTTGTGGCAGGTGAACATGGAGAAGGCCATCAACCGACTACACAGCAAGAGGAAGCAACGGGAGAATGACAGTCCTATCCCTGAAGACCTCGCCGTCGTTGCCTCTACGAAGCAGCTAGAAGAAGATCTCGGCCACACTGCCTTCCTGGAGCTGAAACGACAGGGAGTGATGATCGAGGGGCTCCGCGTGAACACCGTGTTCCTCGGCGGGCTCACCCGCCTCACCAAGCGCTCCAAGTCTTTCGCGACCGTTCGGGCGGGCGGGGGGAAGCCCGAGGGCGGTCTCCTGTCCGCCGAATAACACCTTGCTAAGGCCAGGAAGGACAAAGAAGAGAAGGAGGCAGCTGAGAATGTAAAGGCGGACAACTCCAAGGCCCGTACAGAGGCAAGGACAGCGAGGGAGGCCAATCATGGGCAGGGCGGCGGACGGAGTGGCGGGCGGAGGCGGGCGGAGTGGCGGGCGGGGAGGCCGGAGGGGGTGGGCAAAACGGTACGCGGACGGAGGTCGGGGGGCGCGGGTGTGGTGGGGGTTAGAAAGGGTGAGACGGGCGCGGCCAGGGACAGGGTGGCCGGGGCCGCCCCGCTGGTTCTCGCAGAGAGGGAAGGGAGGTGGGTGGGCGTGCTCGCGGAGAGGGAAGGGGGGCTGGTGGGCAGGTGGGGGCCGGTGCTCGCGTGCAAGGAGGAGCGGAACGGCCGAGAGGGGCGGTGGTTCCCTTGGTTCAGCCGGCGGCGGCGGCGGCGGCCCCCTTTTCCTCTCGAGGACGGCAACGAACCCCGACACCAATTGTTGATGTGTCGACTAGATAGTGTACGGTTATTCGAGTGAAGGATGACTTATTCGAGTGAGACATACAGAAAACGTCAGTTGAGTGTCGAGGTGCCGACACACGCATTATTCCAGGGTTGTGCTTCAACATCTATTGGGGGTGGTTTTCGAGCGTCCCACGGGGAGGAGGGGGGATGGGGGGTGTAGAGGTGTTTCCCGGAACCCCGGGGACGTTGAAATGCTGTCCCCGAGCCTGAAGGGCTATTGGTGTTTTTGCTGCTTCGCGACTTGAGCTGATTGTCTTGAAAGGACCTTTCGATGGGGCGTTCGAGTGGTGGGAAACAGATGCGATTTTCTGCGACAAGTCTCACCGCAGTGCCAAGCTGCTCTTTGCCTGGCCCAGTTAACGTGCTTGAATGTATGTAGTCTATGTAAAGAGGTCAAATGAGCTCCAGACGACATACTTTTTCTTACAGTCAAATTGATGTGCCTAGTAGAAGCTTGGGGTGGTTTCTAGGGCTATGCGGAGATGCTTAGGGTGCACTCCGGCACCTGGGTCGGGGGGGGGGTGTACTCATTGTCGTGCATGCTGTAGTCGTTAGACCATTGACCTCGCATCCCTACAAAGCCGGGACGGAGCACGCCGGGTTCTAACCGGACCAGGCTCTCACATGACCAAGCGCGAAGCGCCGTGAGATATTCGGCGAGTCGCATGAAGGGTGCGCTGCATCCTGCTAAGGGTGTTCGGCATCTTGTGCTTACTTCCTTGCGTACGGATGACAGCTGCGTATGACTTATTAAGTTATTTTCTGGTGCTTTCACTTCCAGAGACAGTTGTAAGCACTACTGTGTAACTGCCTCGAGGGTGGTTGACCATTTTAACACAACGTGGTGCGATCATCCCCCTTGCGCGGAGCGAGGGTTCTCGACCCCGCACAACATGATCTATTCGACCACCATTATGGTTACCGGTACAAACAAAT